CACACACAGACTGACCGGAGAGGTGAGGAGGATTCTGGGATTCTAACATGATATTCCTATTGGTTCCTCAATACAGAGATTTCCTCTTCTGAAGTCAGGTGATCATATGACCATCACAGTGCCTCCATGTGACTCCCTAAACCCTGAGAGACACAACATGCAGAAGATTCTAGAAGTCACCAAGAAGATGATGGAGCTGCTGACAGGAGAGGTGAGCGGTGCCGGGAATTCTGGGACATTCTCCAGTAACAGACAAGGGATGTGTCTGGATGGTGACTGTATCATTGTGTGTGTCAGGTTCCTATAAGGTGTCAGGGTGTCACTGTCTATTTCTCCATGGAGGAGTGGGAGTATTTAGAAGGACACAAGGATCTCTACAAGGACGTCATGATGGACAATCAGCCGCCCCTCACATCACCGGGTAAGAGGAGACTTTATTGTAAAGGAGAGAGCAGTACGGAGGATCCACCTAGATCCCCCATCATCTGATAAACACATAGAAACAATGGATTCAGTCAGTGTGTGTGTTTCCTACAGATGGATCCAGTCATGGGAACCCACCAGAGAGATGTCCCCGTCCTCTGTATTCCCGGGATTCCACACAGGAAGGTCACACCATCCCTCACCATCATTACAAGGTTGGTGGGATGATCACCTAGAACATGGACTTGTAGAGATGATGTGTGATTTTTTTTTTTTTTGTGAGCTTTTTTTTTTTACATTATTTTTCTCTAATTTTCTTGATTTAGAGTGGAGATCCAATCGATATAGAATTTGAGGTGAAAGCAGAAGAAGAAGAGGCGTATGTGAGGGATGATCAGCAGTCTATGGAGGAGGATGGAATAACGGGGACATTTATAGAGGAGGACACTCCTACAGAGATCAGCACAGGTGGGTCATGAACACTAAATCCATTCCTCCACCCATACTGCTCACTGATTGGTCCAGAGTAGGGCGGGGACTGGGTGATATCAACCTGTAATATTCTGGTGTAACATAAATGTGAGAGTCGGGTAGTTTTTCCAGTAGCTGAGATGTGACGTGATCTGTAGAAGGATGTTTTTGTAGATAATCTAGTTTTCATTCCGTGTTATTAGAGATACAGTATTCAGTAATCAGTCAGAGACATATGTTCACCAATTAGCATGTGAAAGGAAGAGCAGCTTCGAGGCCAGAAGTGACACCGAGATTCCAGTCATTGCCCCTAAAAGAATGGACTCACATGCAGGTGACAGCAGATGGGGATCAAGTGAGGCACTACCTGAGTTCCACCATGGGGCTTCTGGAGGGTGTAGGTAGAGGCCGACCCTTGTTCCCACACAAGAGCAACACTGGGGATGGCTATATGCTTTTATTCCAGAGAGGTGCAGGTAAGTGCTGAAAGAATGCATCTCTGTCTGTGGCTCTGGGATGGCCGGCTGCTTTTTCTCTCTTTCTCTCCCCCTCATTATTTTTTCTTTTCTTGGGGGGGGGGGTCCTGTATTTTTGTGTTGCCTAGGACAGTGGTGGGCAACCTTTTTTTTTCAAACTGAGCCAAATCTCGCCAAAACCACCATTGAAATTTATTTTGAGAGCCACATTTTTAAAACTGAAAATACATCCCCCATATAGTAATTCATCCCCCATAGTAATTCATCCCCCATATAGTAATTCATCCCCCATAGTAATTCATCCCCCATATAGTAATTCATCCCCCATAGTAATTCATCCCCCCATATAGTAAATTCATCCCCCATATAATTCATCCCTCTTCATCCCCCATAGTAATTCATCCCCCATATAGTAATTCATCCCCCATATAGTAAATTCATCCCCCATATAGTAATTCATCCCCCATATAGTAATTCATCCCCCCATAGTAATTCATCCCCCCATATAGTAATTCATCCCCCATATAGTAATTCATCTCCCATATAGTAATTCATCCCCCATATAGTAATTCATCCCCCATATAGTAATTCATCCCCCCATATAGTAATTTCATCCCCCATATAGTAATTCATCCCCATATAGTAATTCATCCCCCATATAGTAATTCATCCCCCATAATTCATACCCCATATAGTAATTCATTCCCCCCCTATAGTAATTCATCCCCCATATAGTAATTCATCCCCCATAGTAATTCATCCCCCATAGTAATTCATTCCCCATATAGTAATTCATCCCCATAGTAATTCATCCCCCATATGACTCTAGACACCCCAAAGGTCTTATGTTTGGATTTGGGGTGTCTAGAGGTGACAGATACATTACTGGAACTGCTGGAATATGGTGAAAACACAATTGCTGTACACCTGGGGGTACAGATAGAGAAGCTGGTACTGAAGAGTACCAATCCGTGGAGCCAGGTAGTACAGGTGGCAGTAAGCAATGTTGGTCAGAATTGGAACTGGTTACTTCAGTGCTGGTTAATTGTATGGAAAGTGATCTCACAGTTCCCTACAAGAGTGCTTCCAGTGACTGTTCTTGTGTGGAAGGCGTCAAGCAGAAATGCTAAAGAAACTGGAAATGACAGACAGGCTAGAGGTCTCTCCATTTGATGGTGTGATGATAACCATTCCTGCTGGTGTGGTCCGAGATGCATGCAGCTGAGCAGTGGTTGGTACATGGCATGTATACTGTCTCAACCACTAGACCTCATAAGAAGAAGGGTCCAGAACAGCTGCGGCAGTAGCAGGAATTCTGTCCATCACCCACAAGAGGCCAAAGAGCCTGGAGACTCTGCCAGAAAATACTAATAGCGTTGGTAACGGTAACAGGGAAATGTGTGAACAAATATGGAATGGTATTCTAAATGGGTTTTTGGTTACTGAGGGTACCCACACAAGGGCTGATGAACCCAAAAGTCAAGAACACCAAGAGTGGTTGAAGTTGGTACAAATGAGAAGAAATGTGTCTCCATGTTAGGCAATGGAGGTTCCCTATAGCTTTAGGACAGAAGAAGATGGGAAAAGGCAGCAGAAAAAAACCAAAATATACAGAGAAAGTAAAAGTATCCTGAGGATCCCAAGACCAAAGGGGAGTGGGGCTGGTAGAAGGATGGGTAGGGCCCTGTTAAGGTCTCAGAATAGGTGCTTGTGGAAGCACACCAGAAAGAAGACTTGGGTAGCTCTAATTAGGTCCTGTAGAGCAGAGTTCCCATTCAGACGTAAGAGGGAAGGTAGTGACTGGGAGAAAGTATTAGGTGGTGGATTGTACAGAGATGCCAAAGTGAGAAGTTTGTGTTTCATGTCTTCCAGTTGGATAGGGTCTTGCTTGGGGGTATGTGACCAAAAGACCCTATTACTGTGAACATAGAGGAGCATATGACATAGGATTCACATTGAGAGTTCATGTGAGGTTCTGGACTATCATTTCTGATTTGAAAAAGCTGTGTTTCTGGTTTCTCCATATTCTGTAGTTTTGTATCGGAACTTTAAATCCGTGTCCGGATTTTATATGATGCCTGCAGCCTGTCTAAGTGTACAGGTGTGCAGGACCCTTATATACTCAAGCCTGAGGATTGGAGACAGCTCTCAGTGTGGGAGACTAAAGGTCTTACACAGAGGTCAGAGGAGTGCCAGCCAAGAGACAGGAGATCGCATTTCACGGAGTCAGGAGGGCTCCTATTGGGGTGTCAGGAGAACCCCTATCCAGAAGCTGGGATTGGGCTTTGCAGCAGGGCACTGCAACTAAAGTCTAAAAAAAGCCAAGTGAACAGGTAAAGCTAGACAACACAGACAAAGGGGTGGTAAGAAGAGCGGTGTTGCTGCAGACAAGGGAGCTAGGTGGCTTGGTATTTTGGTTTGACTGTTGATGGAAGAACGCCTACATGGGTAACTGATGCCCAAGTGAACTTTCAATTTTAATTAATAAAAGGGGGATGCCATGCCCTAAAATACAGTTTGGACCGTCACAACTCATTAAAAAAACACCTACCACATGATGTATGATCTCCCATTACAATACCTGACAAACCACATATGTATTCTTTTGTTACACCCATTTTCTACAAGCTGGACATTATGGGGTTTATTTACTAAAGCTGGAGAGTCCAAAATCAGACTCCCTTCTGCATAGAAAACCAATCAGCTTCCAGGTTTCATTGCCAAAGCTTCATTGAACAAGCTGAGGTTAGAAGCTGATTGGTTTCATGCAGAAGGGAGTCTGGATTTTGGACTGATGCTTTAGTAGCACAAACCCCTTTTACATGGTGATAATAATGTGATAACATCCTCCAACTTTTGACCCTTAAACAGAAAGTGATAATGAGGGAGGAGTCAATACCCCAAGATGGTGGTCTTCAGGATCAGTCCAGTCTTCATCTTGGTTGTTCTCCCCCATCCTCACTCTCTGACCTCTGGTGGGGCTCAGCCCCGCTGTTCTTCATGACTAAATCATGGACTAAATAAGGAAGTGCAGTACTTCTTGTGTTGGGAAGATGGCGATGAGTGATAGAGGGGGTGGGGACCCTCGTCCTATAATCCCCTCATCACTGTCCCTCCTATAAAAGACAGTTCTGGTTGTTTCCTCACTCTCTGACTAAGGTCCATGAATAAAGAAATGACCTGGTAGGAGATCAGAGGAGCCATTTCCTAGTTCCCTTGAGGGTGGAATTGTAAGCTCCTCAGAGACCAAGCTGCCTGATGTGGGCGGAGTCCTGGTTTGGGGGAACCAATCAGCTCCTGTCTAGTAATCCTCTTTGTCTTTGTATTTTAGTCCATGGCCGGGAGATGAGGAAAACCTCCGAGGATTGTCTCACTTTGTCTCCAGACTGGAAAGTAGAAGATGAGGACATCACACAGTATAGTCCAGGAGAAAACCCGGCTCCCTCCAATGTCCATCCGGCACCACCCAGTGTAGATGGACCATCGGATTCCTCGTATCCTGAGGAACCTCAGACTGTGCGGGACCGGGCCGGCCTTCTTCCAACAGGGAAGAGCTTCTCCTGTACTGAGTGCGGGAAATGTTTTCCAGTTTTAAATGCCGTCTTAATGAGCATAAAAAATCTCACACAGGAGAGAAGCCGTATTCCTGTCCTGAGTGCGGGAAATGTTTTTCACAGAAGTCACATTTTTCTAGACATCAGAAATTCATACGGGAGAAAAAGCCATATTCCTGTTCTGAGTGTGGGAAATGTTTTTCATTGAATTCCAATCTTTACAGACATCAAAGATCGCACACGGGGAGAAGCCACTATTCCTGTTCTGAGTGTGGAAAATGTTTTTCAGATAAGTCCAATCTTTATAATCATCAGAGATTTCACACGGGAGAGAAGCCTTATTTGTGTTCTGAGTGCGGGAAATGTTTTGTCAAAAAAGTCAGATCTTGTCAAACATCAGAGATCTCACACAGGGAAAAGCCATATTCCTGTCCTGAGTGCGGGAAATGTTTTTCAGATAAGTCCAATCTTTATTATTCATCAGAGACTCACACGGGAGAAAAGCCCCATTCCTGTTCCGAGTGTGGGAAATGTTTTGTAAAAAAATCAGATCTCATCAAGCATCAAAGGATCTCACACGGGGGAAAAGCCATATTCCTGTTCTGAGTGTGGGAAATGTTTTTCACAGAAGTCCAATCTTTCCATTCATCAGAGAGAGCTCACACAAGGGAGAAGCCACTCTCCTGTCCTGAGTGAGGGAAATGTTCCTCACTGAAGTCCTGTCTTCCTGTACATCAGGGGTCCCACACAACCGTGGAGGTGTATTAGTGCCTTGAGTGCGGGAAATGTTTTCTAGATGAATGTTGCTGGACATCCCCGCTCTCATGTGGGGAAGAAGCACACCCCGATATACACCTCAGATATACTCCATGGCTGATCTTCATGGAAGAAACATCCATAAGGAGATCAGAGGTCCCCAAAGACATGGATGAAGTGTGGGACCGGGTTGGCCATTGATAGCAGGAGAAGAATAAAAATGGAGTCATCACCTTTCATTGGCTGAGTACATTTTGTGGTTACATAGTTTCATAGTAAGTTTGATTGAAAAAACAAAAGACACAAGTCCATCTACTTAAACCATTAAAAGGGGAAAAATTTATACAGTCCTACACCCACAGTTGATCCAAAGGAAGGCAACCTCAATAAAGAATGATCTAATTTGCTCCTGCAGGAGAAACAATTCCTTCCTGATCCCCCGAGAGGCGATCGGATTATTTCCTGGATCAACTTTACCTATAGAATGTTATATCCAGTTATATTCTGTGTATCCAAGAAAGAATCCAGGACTTTCCTACAGCAATCCACTGAGCTGGCCACAAGTCACTCAAATCAGAGTCTTGTTGAGGGAGTCTATTCCACATTCTCACAGCTCTTTGTGAAGAAACCTTTCCATGTTTGGAGATTAAATCTCTTTTCCTCCAGATGTAAAGAGTGTCCCCTTGTCCTCTGTGATGAGGTATTACTAATGATTTGTACTGGATGGGAATGATCTCTCTCTCTGAAGTCTATACCTCTCCTAGTATAAGAGAGGATTCTGCTCTCTATAGAACCCGCAGCTTGGCATTACATGCCATTATTAAGCTTGTGATCTACCAGACCTCCCAGATCCTTCTTCACCATTGACCCCCCCCAGTTGTACCCCCCAGTATGTATGATGCATGCTCATTCTTAGCCCCCAAGTGCAGAACCTTACATTTATTGACATTAACCCTCATTGGCCCCATAGTTGCCCAAATTACACAGAGCATTGAGGTTGGCTTGTAAGTTGGAGACATCCTGTAAGGACGTTATTCCCCGGCACAGCTTGGTGTCATCTGCAAAGACTGAAATGGGATTTATAATCTCAGACCCGATATTGTTTATAAAATATATTAATAAGTAAGGGTCCCAACACTGAACCTTGGGGTACCCTGTGACGATCGCGCGTCAGACCCCAGACCTTCTCACCAAACTCATGACCGAAGGACCAGCCAATCTAAAACCGCGATGTCACGTGCGTAACAATGCCACACCCAGCTGCACTCTGCACAAAGTTTTTCCAGCTAATGGACCACAAATCGATGTACCGGCAGCCTGAGTGCGATTGTTACTGGGTAAGGTTAATTATGCAATTAACCCTTCACACTGCCACCAACTCCTTTTTGTACAGAGAGGAAACTCAGCAATACCAGCAATAACACTAGGATGATTGGATAATTGTCTGTATACCACTATCACCGCAGACAGGTTATACAGAGGGTTAAACACACATAGTAGCGCTCTTCAGGGGCAGGAATTCGTAAATTGCATTAAAGAGCTTTAGAAACAGTTCAACACAGTCAGAAAGAAAGATTTATTACTAAAAGGTCAAAAGGGTGCAATAAAAATATTTACAGAAAAAAAGATGTAACCAATATATATATAAATATACAGAGAACAATAGCACAGCAAAGAGGTAACAGAAAGGAGGTTAAAGTACTTGCCAATCAGCCTTGGGTTAAGCAGATCAAGTTTCAGAGCAAAAGGGCATCGTCTTCCAAGTTGGTTCTGATGTTAAATGGGAGAATTCTTCAACTTCCACTCTTAGGCCTGACAGCCTATTTTGTAGTTCCCCAGCAGGGGGTGTCTCTGGAGCCAAGGACCAATGCCTCATTTGGGGAGGGGTGTCTGGGCGGAGACCCAAACTAGAACCTAAATCTCTCAAAGCTCATATTTTGGCTCAAAACTTTTCCTAGGCACAAGTACCATTCAACCCGCGGGTAGATTAATATGCAGACACATCTGAGGAACGGTTAGATATGAAATATGTAATACATACTTGAATGGTTCAAGAGATGTAATTTTCTGCTTTTCTATATATTCCAGCCAGGGAGTGTGACCTATCAAATGATTTGTCTGATCATGAGCAATCTGAAGATATGCTTGGTTTTTATGTAAGTCTCTCATATTCCAAGATATGAGACATAGGGTGAAAATGGATTTTAAAAGTCGTATCTAGTTTATGACTCCCCTAGAACGTCTTTGAATTCAGGGGAAGGCTTGGGTTATCCTTTTTTGATGTGCCAGATTGCACAGGTTTTTAGACAGCGAAGTCCCAGCTCCTTTGGGGGTTTTATAGCTCGGAGCTTCCTGCTGTGCTCTGGCCTTCTGTGACACTCCTCATCACTCAGGCCACATGTCACTGTAAATGAACAGAGAGGGAGGGGGATTATTCGAGAGGGGGAGAAGGATCTACAAGATGGAGGGTTTGGAGCAAAATGGTTGAACCATGACCATCTCTGTGGGCATGATTGCTACATACTCCACTAATAACACTGAACCTTGGGGTACATACCCCACTAATAACAATGAACCTTGGGATACCCCGATAATAAAACCTTGGGGTACACACCAATAATAACACTGAATTTAGGGGTACACCACTAATAACACTGAACCTCGAGGTACCACACTAATAACAGTGTACTTTTTGGGTACAACACTAATAACACTGTACACCATTGACAAACACTGGGGTACACCATTGACAACACTGAACCTTGGGGTACACCATTGACAACAGTGAACCTTGGGGTACCCCACTAATAACACTGAACCTTGGGGTACCCCACTAATAATACTGAACCTTGGGGTACACCACTAATAACACTGAGCCTTTGGGCACCCCACTAATAACACTGTACCTTTTGGGTACACCACTAATAATACTGAACTTGGGGTACCCCACTAATACTGAACCTTGGGGTACCCCACTACTAATACTGAACCTCGGGGTAAACCACTAACACCCCTAGACCATTCAGCGTATGAATCATTAACCACTACTCTCTGAATTCGGTCTTTGAGCCAGTTTTCTATCCATTTGTAAACTGATTTTGGTGGTGTAAGAATGCACAAACATTTAGAGGTCTATTTTAAAAAAAAAAAATAGTTGTACGATTATGACCGGCATTCACCCAGCTGTGATGAACATTGGCTGTATTTTATTTCATACATTGACTTGCTTGATTCCATCTAATGGCCATAGTGCATTATTGCTCTATCTTTACTGATTGAGGTATTTCAGGAAAAATACCTCATTATGATCACTAGATGGGGCTGAAGGTCATAGGAAATCACTGTGTTAAATCACAGTCAGAATTTGTAACAGCTGGATGAATGATTGCCACATTCATCCAACAAAGTTTTAAAAAATAGACCCCTTCTTTTCCTTCATCGGGCAGGGCTTCATACTAGTACCTGAGATCATACTCATGAGTATAGCAGACACTGAGGAACATAAATTAATTAAGCTAACACCATTAAACCAGCCATTGATTTAAAACGAAAAATACTATATAAATACACCAAAGTATAATAACTATTATCTCCATCGAGTGGCTAATGTGGTGTTGTCTATTTTACATCAATGGAAATTATTGCTGTACACATTGTCGACCAGCAAATAGCCAAATAAAAAGAAGGAATGGACATGCATTTTCATCTGGTAAATTGCTGTACACATTTTTTGATTAGACCCCTAAATGTCAGGAGACGTTTATATAAAGACGGGAAGTATGTAGCAGAGAAATGAATAGACCTCCCAGCAATGTTTTTACCAGGCTGCAGCTAGGGGGAGCTCTAATGTTTAAAGTGTAAGAACAAATAAAAATTGTGTGTCGGTGTAAGGAATAAAATCTTTGGTACCCAAAAACCTTTCAAAGATGACACTTTAAGAGCCTTCCGAGGTCATCAGTTTACAGATTACTGTGAAAAATGGCCCAGAATGCGCTGGTCAGGTGTATGTTATATACAGCCCATCATACAGAGTGTAGTTTTTAGTATATCATATACAACCCTGTGTATAGACTGCAGTGGTCAGGTGTATAGCATACACAGCCCAGCATACAAAGTGCACTGGTCAGGAGTATGTCATTTACCCTCTTTCCTCCCACCCCTCATTCCCCTCAGCCACTTCCTCCTGTACCACTACCCCTCCCTCCTAGATTGTAAGCTCGAAAGAGTAGGGCCCTCTTACACCTCGTACGTTGTTTGTTGTTGTTGTACTGTGCCATGTATTGTCCCCCCCTCTATTGTACAGCGCTGAGCAAACCCTTTGGCGCTATATAAACTCCATGTAATAATAATAATTTACAGCCCTGAGCCCTGTATATAGAGTGCAGTGGTCAGGAGCACATCATATACAGCCCTGTGTATAGAGTGCAGTGGTCAGGAGCACATCATTTACAGCCCTGTGTACAGAGTGCAGTGGTCAGGAGCAAAACATTTACAGCCCTGTGTATAGAGTGCAGTGGTCAGGAGCATGTATATATAATTTACAGCCCTGTGTATAGAGTGTAGTGGTCAGGAGAACATGTCATATACAGCCCTGTGTATAGAGTGCAGTGGTCAGGAGAACATCATATACAGCCCTGTGTATAGAGTGCAGTGGTCAGGAGCACATCATATACAGCCCTGTGTATAGAGTGTAGTGGTCAGGAGCACATCATATACAGCCCTGTGTATAGAGTGCAGTGGTCAGGAGCACATCATTTACAGCCCTGTGTACAGAGTGCAGTGGTCAGGAGCACATCATTTACAGCCCTGTGTATAGAGTGCAGTGGTCAGGAGAAAATCATTTACAGCCC